GAAAACAATGAGCTTTTCCATATAAATTTTCAGACCGATAGCAATTCAATAGTCAAAACTTATTATACAAATTTGGATATTGAAAAACAGCCTTTAAATAGATAAAATGATTTTATCTACTCTTGACAAGAGACAGAAATTAAAATTCATGCGTTAATCATATATTTAAATTTAATTTAATGAAGAATAATGCCTTTTGGCGGTAAATTTTGCATAAGTTTTAAGTCTGCGGACGACAGGAAAATACTAATTTATGAGTTAGGCAGGTAATGATTAAGAAGTTCTAAAAGAGGGAACGTCTATGTGATACCTGAAATCCTCCAAAACTGCCTGAATAATTCATAAAACTGTAGTACAATCTATAAGCGGTTGCTTTTTAAAGTTACCTTCACATTTTCTTATTCCGTATAGAAAGCCTGTCAACTGCATGCTGCTTATTTACGCTAATTAACTACTTTTAATTGAATTATATCTGTATTTATTCTACCAAATATTAAACGTTTATATGTTTCAATAATATACATTTCTTTCAGAAAAGTTTCTGGACTCCAAAGCAATAAACAAACAACGAAATGACATCTGGGTCGATATCTCCAACCCCCAATAACTCCCCAGCAATGGCTCAGCGGCCTCTACTCATTTCTCGAGATATTGTACCAAGAATCAGCAAGAAAACAGTAGAATTTCAGACAGATAAGGATGATAACGATTTTGACGACAAGTAAGTTTTTACACAATTTGTTCCACGAAAGATGTTATTCAATAACATCTTGTTGCAACATCTATAGGCAAGAAAACAAAGACATTTTTACAGAGTTTGCTTAGTCTAGGACATCGGAAAATATTCACTTCATGTTAAAGAACTGAAAATTAATCTTAAAACATCAGTAATATTAGTAGTTTTATGACAAACAGCGAAACGTTTGTTAAGAGCGTTTTAGGCAAACATCGTTTCAAGCATGACGCAACTTTTTTGCTCCTGTTTCAGAAACAAATTGAGGTAACGGGCTCACTTCTACACCGCTGAATAGAGAATTAAATAACAAACATTACTGAAGTGAAGCATTGTTTGGAAATGGATAGGTGGTTTTATACAAAAAGCGAAAGTTCAACCTATTTTTTTGTTTTACGCGGTTTTGGAAAAATTTGACCATCGGCTCAAACATGACTCCGCCTTTTTGCTCATATATGACTATGATAATATGACTATAATAATATGACTATATGAATTCGATAAAAGATTGGGACATCGTTTCAAACATGACGCCACATTTTTTCGCAAATCATAATATAAATAATATCATCAAATATCAGGAATAAATTGAGGCAACCCGCTCACTTATACACCACTAGATTAATTAAATAACACATTGATCAAATGCACCATCTATGAAAAATATTATTATTAGTTTTCAAACTAGAAACGGAAGTTTAACATGATTTTAGCTCTACGCGGTTTTGGCAAAATTGGGCCATCAGCTCAAACATAACGCCGCCTTTTTTGGTCATTTCTCAAAAATTATTTGAGCTACAGCATTCGTTTTCATTCCACTGGATAAACGATTTAAAAGCTCACTTGCCAAGTGAAACACCACTTAGTAAATATCGATAGTTTTTAACGCAAAAAGCGAAAATAAAATATTACACATTTAGGTGCAAGCTAAGGTCATCGCTTCAAACATGGCGCCAGTTTTTTCCTCATACCCCAAGGAAAAATTGAGCTACTTCGCTCATTTTCACACCATTGGATACGGAATTAAATAGTTCATTAATCAAGTGAACCATCGTTTAAAACGATTGGAAGCTTTCACAGAAAAAGCGAAATTTCAGCATCATTTATAGTTTTACGTGGTTTTGGGAAATTTGAGCCATAGTGAGCGATCACTTGTTAAGAATCATTTGAGCTACACTACACGGTTTTAGACTACAAGATATTGGTAGTTATCAAACCAACTGCAACATTTAAATATTATACATTTAGAACATCGAACGTCCTTTTAAATTACCTTGTATAGTATAGTAACTGAGTTTTTAGAGAACAAACATTTTTCTTATTTAAACTTTCTTTTCTCATTGTATTGACGAAAAATGTTCGAGTATGGTGTGCAAGTTATCACTTTATGTAGTAATTTGCCAACACATTAATCAAGGAATAAGGATTAGGGTTAATTTTCTGTTTCGAATTACATTTTAGGTTAACTCAATTATTTAAATGATACGCAAAATAAAATTGCAAACTAATTTTATGTTTTAATCGTATGGAATTAAAATTAAATAAATGCCGAAATAATTGGTGATAAATTTTTTAGGACCTATTGAAACCAAAGTGCAAGCAAACCGATTAATTTTCGAAGCTGTTTTGTTTAGAGCGATAAACTTGCTCGAATCCTGACTATTGAATCCATCCAACAATTAGGACAGAATGTTCTGAACTGTTCCTTAAACGCTTTGTTTAAGAAATAGAAATTTGTTGTTGAAACAGACGTTGCATAAATTTTATGTAGATCACGAGATAAATGCAAATTGATTTAGCCCCAACGAAGCGACATCTCCAATTATTTCCGAAACCATGCAAAATTCGCAAAATCTTTACTTACAAATTCTACCGATTTATTTATTAACTATAATTTTCAAATGTTCGTCAATAGAACAGTTTCCATTCTCTCTTTAACACCCAACACATTATATTAATGGATCTCCAAATCTTTCACCATCGAATAGCTACTTGATTATGCAATTTCGATTTATTACAATGAATATAAGGCAAAATAAATTTATTTGCATAGCACGATTTCTATTCGTTACATTTATTCGCCATTTTCGTGCAAAGTCTACATGAGCTTTTGGAAACAAATAAAAAGTCTATATAACTGTTAAACTGATTAAAATCAAGTCATTCGACTGAAAGCTTTTCTAAGCTTAGCAAATATTGATCTTTGTGTGATAAAGTCAGTCACAAAATGTATGGGTGTTCATCAAATATATATTCACATGTTTCAATTTTGTCATAATACCAAAGTTAACTGATTAACAGTTCTCTCAATACTCAGTTATTCAGCTAAAGCAGTCACTGGACTATTTATGGGGTTTGTGCCCACCCCATGCATGTTTAGTAGGTATAAATAAATTATTTTTTTGGTTTCGCACTTACAAAAATTAAATGTTTGGGTCGTTCATTTATGTATTTTTTATTTCACGATAAAATATTCAGTATTAAATTGGATTGTATTGGCTTTTGCATTGTCTAGAACCAAAATGTTACAATCAAATTAAATATTATAATTTTCATATTCAACTATGTTGGTTGAATCTGTTAACAAATCCATACTGTGGGTGTTAATTAAAATGTCAACTTGCATTTTGATGGTTTCTTTGTTAGAAGTTTATTTTCACCCCTTGCTTTTTAATTTAATTATTTAGGTAAAAATTGGGATTGGTAGTAATACGACAAATTTCAATTTTTGAAACTAAGCGTTTAAGGATCAGTTAAGAAAATTAATTAGTCTTAATTGTTAGGTGCTTCGGGCCAGTTTTTATTAACTATAACTCTTTTCGTCATCATCATCTTGATTCTTTCATATAATTATCGATTTAATTTGCGTTTGAAAAAGATTGCGTGGGAAGCAAAAGTTCAGGCTCGCCTAAATTGAACGTTTATGTAAATTTATTTGTCCGGTAGTATTTATTTACGAATATTTTTCGTTGAATCAACCAAAATCCTCTTTGTGAAGAAAAGCAAACTTGCATTAACTAGTTAAAAATGCAGTTGATACATTTAATTATTAAAGAAAACACTTGAGATAAAAATTGTGAAAAGCACGTTTAAAGTTTAAGAGGGTCCATTTTGTCTTGTGCTCGACTTCGACAGTCTAGTTTTTATTAGAATATCTTATCTTTGACAACATTTTTGCGATTCAGCATTATGAAGGGTATTGGTAATTAGTTACGAGCTTTTAAATTTTAAAATATGAAAATCTACCATTTGAACAAATAAATAAATAACGAGTAGTCAATCGAACATTATTCAATATAATACTGAATATTATTAAATGTTGAAATTATCAGCCATTCAGCTACATATAATTTCCAGTTGAGTGTTCTGAGGAATGTCCAGGGTAATTTGTTTTAACAGTTCCGACTTCCGGTCCCATAAAAAGAAGTCTAGAGGAGATAACCGGGTTTGGAATTCATTTATAAGCAAAATCTCATAAGGTGGACCTAATGAGGGAAAGCTAAATTTTTCTGTAAGACTAGATTTTCCATAACTCCGATCAGAGCTGAGTCTACGACATTTCTCAATCAGGCAGGTTAAAACTTCCTTGCAAATAACTGAATATAATTTAAAAGTGTTTTAAATTCGGTGCTTTTTACTATCAGCACGTTTTAATGCAGGAAATTACATTTTAATTACCGTGTAATAACAGGTGCGTTCCTATTTGAAAAATTAGAGGTAAAATAATCGTGGGTATAGGACTTATTCAAAACACCGTAATTATGTTTAAAATTTAATACACCAGCTGTAGATGGAAATTCTTCATAGTTGATAATAGTTTGATTAAAGTAAAAACTAACTTAACAACCTCTTCTCTGCTGATATGAAATAAAGCAATATTACAAATTTTCATACAATTTACTTCAAATTAACTCTATAAATCGAGACAAATTAGTTTTTTTCTTTCATATTTGCTGAACTAGGAAAACAGTTTATTGCTGTGTGATTTGTTTCGTTAAGCTTTTAGTGGCATTAGATTAACTACTTCAAGCAGCGCAAAGCAATAAAATTTAAATAAAACAAGTAACTGAATGTTTACTCTTTGAGGCGGTATTTAATTGTTTTGCGGGGATAAACTTTTGCAAAAATCCACTAAACTGGCTTTTATAAAGTTTTAATTTAGTTCATAATCCCATAATTTCAACGGCGCAGGACAAATAGTGGCTTCGGTCTCTCTCAGTTGCAAAGTAAACGGGAACATCCAGAGAAATATTGCAGTCAGTTACAGCGCTCCCGACCATGGAGTCAGATAACTACAATATGAAGCGCTGTATGATTGGACGTGAAAAATTGCGCTCCAACTTTGCAATTTCAAAGTTTTGCAAAAAAGCGTTGTTGGAAATGGAGCCAAATTGTAAATAAATTCGACAGAAATGTATCGTGCATTGGACACTTGTTGGTGCCGAAATGAATTTTATTTATTGAAGTGTATAGCGCGATCGGGAAAACTTCAGTGTAACATGGAACGTCCCAAGACTTATTAGTTAAGTGATCGTGGTACTTTAATAGACAAAAATTAGAAGGTATTTCATTTTTTGCCGATCATTTATTACGACGACTCTGTGATTCTATATGGGAAACTGTCGATGATAATGCAAGACCTCATATAGTGAGTTAAATGTGGTTTGTACAAGTAACATTAGTATTTCCCCGCTCATTTACTCCCCTATATGTAGATCTCTATAATTGCGGGATATCCGAATTTTAAAGGCGACTTAATTTATTGAAATGTCATTGTGCGGGACGATAAGATAAAGTTCAACATTTTGCAGGAATATGATTTTATAATCACTATTCGCTTAAGGCTGCTTAATCTAATAAGGTACACCTTATGAAAATCTAGAATCTTTAGAATCAACTATGTTTGCAAACGTTGCTTAACGGTTAAAAAATATAAAAAAATATCAGGCAAATGATTGCGAGATATATCCTTCTGAACAAAAGAGTCGGGTTTTTCACTAAAAAACTATGATCAATTGTCGCAATCAGATTTTGCTTCGATTAAACCTTTTATTCAACCTCATGCATTTTTAATTTCCAAAAGTATCTCTTCACCTACTCATTAAAACCCTGCATTGTTCGAGACAGCTGACAATTTCGTGCCCTCAATTGTAATATTGTATCACAGTTAACTTTACTAAATAATACATATTTTTGATACGTAGTAAATTTTCAATTAAACTGTGTCCGTTAGCAGCTGGTATTTTGCAACATAGTGGCACATTAGATCATTGAATTCATGAACCGAAATCGATGCCGTTAATTAATCATTATCACGTTTTATGAGAAACCCAAGAGAAATTAGAGTAATAGTTTCAGCTTCGTTAGATTAAGAATTGAATTATCAGGAAGAAAACAGTGTTATTTAGTTCCTTCAAATTACGTTTTGGTTGCTGTTTCATCCAGAAGAAATAAAATGCTTTGAGGGACTTAATATATGGATAATTGTTTTTTTCTGCTACTCAAATTGACTGCAGCCTATGTACACTTCACAACTTATAGAGTTTTCAACTTACCAAACATTAAGCATTTTTGTGTTGCAAAAGCAGCATTTTTTTATTGTGGGGAAAGTTTAGTCTTTTGCGGCGTAGCATTGCGTGCTTCGCCAAGTATTTTTGCAACTAGTCGAATGCAGCTGGAGAGGTTGTAACTAAAAATCTTCATTCCAATTCCAATTTCAAATTTTCAGCATATAGTATAATGGTTTATATCAGTAAATTCTTCATTTTCGATAACGTTAGCGTATGTGTTTTAATAACCCGAATTGCATCACGTATGATATCTGACTTCAATCAGTTATGAACTCACACAATATGAAAAGTGTATCTCGTTTCTCCACATAATCCTGTTCAATTGATTTTATTAGTGTTGCTTAATAACGTTTTCCAATTGTCAACCTTAATGTTAATTGTATCTGTATTACTTAACAAAATATAAAATATTTGTTTTAACTGAAAATTATGAGATTATCGGACTTCCAGGTCGTCGCGGAAAATTGATTTCCGAAGTTTTTGTTTGAAACGTCGGGAAGACATTCCTTTATCACGACAGCCTAAAAGCCTTAAAAACTCACCAGTTTTAATAATGGAAGCTTAACTCCTTTGATTGTTTGCGTCTCGAAATTTCAACAAATATTTTAACTAGAACTAAATTCAAGTTATATGTGTATATGTGTTTTGGCAGTGACGCACTAATTGTCGTTATTTTTCTATTACTTGTCCATTGAGCGAGAGGCAAATTTGATATTATTAATGTAAGTGTTTTTTTTTATTTCAATTTCATCAAATTGTTATAATTCTCGGAAGTATGGAAGAATATTCAAATTATTGATTTGATCTTTTGGCGAATGTTAGAAGTTTCTGTGGATCTTCAGTTATCATTTTTCATCAATTTACCGAGACATTTCCTATTTGTGTGTAGGTATGTTGTGTCTGGATACCGAACATGCCTAAGCAATGTTGTGAGGGCGAACATCGGTCATTTTGCTTATTTTTCCACCACAATCGCGTAGATATTATAGATCCTAATTTTTTTCCTCTTTTCTTCATAAATTGACCGCAGGTTTACCCCCATGAATATAAAATACTGTAACGCTCACATTTAACACCAACTACTGTACAATTGAGACAAATTAACGAAACTAAAGAAAGTGACTTACTTTCCCAATTACTTAATTGTTTATATTGTGCAAATTTAACTTGACAGCGTCAATCATTTAATAGTGCTGTTATTTTGTATTATCTAAAAATATGTTTTCACTGTAAACCGTTTGTTTGTTTAATTTTACTTTTGTATGTGGTTGACCTGTCGCAAATAAATCCATGTGGCGTTTAATCCAAAAAAATATGTATAAATAGAAATAAATATCCCATATCTAAAATAAAATTTCTTTCTAATTCAGGACTAGCTTGTGAAAATGTGTGCTATTTATTTAATTTAAAAAATCCAATTAACCGTTTGCCTGTAGGCACCCAATATTTTTCCATTTTAGTAAAATAAATCCGGCAGCTTATTTTCGTATGCAGCAATTAGAAGCACGTAATAACGATTAAAAAAACACATCGTCTAATTTAAGTACTAGTGAGATTTAAAATCAATATACAAATAATAAATCAAATGCAGATTACATTTAACAGGTCCAATAATATTAATAATTGCCTGCTTGCTGTTGCTCTCAATATTTTCCATTATAGAAATATTTCCTTGCATCACCTCGCTTTAAGTAGGCATTTGATGGATTGTATTAACACGTGTTGCGAGAGTGACAGCCTCAGAATGTGAAGATGTTTTTATATCTTACCGATTTCAACATGCGAGTGTTTGTTGCTTCGATTATTATTACCATAAGGGCACGATTTATTTAAAATAATTATTTACGCTACATTGTTCGTGAAAGAAACATGTAATTGTGTTACTTGTTTGAAATGCAACTTGTAATCAAAATGTAGAAAATGTAGATCCTCTTAATATAATAACTGAAGAAAAAAACGCTTTCTGAGAAAATTAATTCCAAATTGACGCTGATAGTAATCAACGATAATTAAATAAAATGTGAATAAAGCGTTACGCCTCATTTTTGCTATTCTGGATTCAAACCTAACTCAGACATCACATTAGACGGACGAAAAAACGCTTTTTTATATTAAATAATCAATCAATTCGTAGTAAGGTAAATGTTTCTGCGAACTGTAAATATGCTTGCTAACCTTGACGCTGCTTTTGGCGATAATTCAGTAGCTTTGCAGTAAATATCGGTATTTTGGAGGCATTTTTCAAAATCCCGATAAGCTTTTTTTAAATCAAAAAATATTCTAAGGTCCACATCTTAAATGAAAATACAACAGCAAGGCATATAAATTTGCCCACCTTTAAAAATTCACCCTTTGGGATTTCTGGGACTGGGAAAGTCTTCAACAATGTTCATGTTAAATGTCTTCAATATCAATTTGGCATGCCTTGCTGGAAGGAAAACATATTATTTATAAATGCGTATAGGGAACATCCGGAACTAGTGGACACCATTTATTCTATTCAAATGTATTTTAATGTTTTGTAACTTTCTCTATGAGCCATTAAACACGACAATGCAATTAAACTCGCTACTTAAACCAGTAAAATAGTCAATGCCTTTAAATCTATGTACGCATTTTGTATTTTTTGGGAAATATAGAGAAAGCAGAGTTTTGCATTATCCAAAATTTTGAGCTTTTGAGTATTCAACAGTAGCATATTATTCTGATTTTATTTATTCTTAGAAGTAGTTTAATTTTTTCGGATATTGCTTAAGACATTGATAAGGGAATTTTCGTGTTTTTTTCACTAAAATTTATTGGATGGCAGTATTATTTCCACATTTTTAGAGCATTGTCAAGACACTTTCATTCACATTTGGTATGCCGAACGTGTAATGACCAGATTAAAGCATTATGTTAACAAAACTTCTACGTTTCTGAACAAATCCGTATCGATTTGTTTTGTAAACCCCTGAGCCATCGGAATCGAAATATTCGAATATCGAATGGAATTTGTTATATTCTTTTCCAAACTCTAGGTACGTGCAACACTATGTAGGCACATGTTTCTTCCTTAATCCTCTTTAATCCTTTACTGAAGCTAAAATTTCAAATAAAAAATGCGTTAATTTCACTTTGAAATAAAAATTATCGGTTTGCCTACCGTGAAAATTCAATTTCGTTGATCGTCGTCCCTGTTAACTTTGACTTTGATGCTGTAACATAGCCAGGTACCGTAATCTCATTATTGGGGAAAAAAATTTCCATTTTTCACAATGCTGGGAAAATGTTCAAAATAGTGAGACAGAAGCACTCATTTCCAAACCTCTCAACGATAAAACTTTTCCGCATAGCTGGCGCCTTATCAGCCTATTCCAGAAAAAGCAAACTCTAAAGCATACAAGCTGATATATCCAGACCAACCAACCAAGTCTGGAGACGACCCATAAAAAACAACAGTGTGGAAAATCTAGCTCAAGCAAAAATAAAATACATTAGTAAGAAATCAATCAAAAATAAAAAAATACTAGAAACACTAGAAACGATAATTTTAAGTATTTTGCTTCACTGTACTACATTCTTATTTAACTTTTCATCTAGCCCTAGCGTCTTTCAAGCAACACAAACTCTTAGATAAGTTCTAACTATATATAGAGCGCATTGACAAAAAAATAGCTAAATTTACCCCATCGTTTATTTATGTGTGTAACCCCGTAATATAATAATTAGACTGTTCCATAAATAGCAAGTTTAATCTGGAAACTAATCTTCCACTATTAAAAAATCATAGGTGAATTTCCGGAAATAATGTTAATTAACCTGAGTATAAATGCGTTTTCATTAGTAGCTAACATGTCCGCACATGTTCACAAGCCGTAAATTGTGCGGACAATAACCAGCAATAAAATGAAGTTTTATCTTTGCTTTACATTAAAAAGTGCTCTGCTTTAGTTTGCAGTAAGTAATCTACTGTATTGAATTTTTGCTCAGTCAAGTGAGTTCTAATGGAATCAAATTGAAAAATGCCGATAAATTAATTTCCAGACTCAAACCGTCTATCGCCCAAAAATGTGTTTATTGCAGCCACTGTTTTGAT